TGTGGCGGTGCTGTTCAGCCTGGCCGTCTGCATTCGCGTGGTTCTTCTCAGCCTGCATTCGCGTGGTGCTTCTCAACCTGCACTCGTGTGCAGCCGTGGATAGTGAGAGACGGTGCTCTTCAGCACGTTTCGTTTGAGGCTGAGTCCATTGATAGCAGTGCCTCGTTTGGACTTACATCCATTGATAGCAGCGTCTCGTTTGGAACGAACACAAAAACAATGTGCTGTCTCGTTGATAGCAGTGCGTCCTTTGCAGAGACATTCACTGTTGATAGCAGCGTTTCGTTTCCAGACGCATCCGTAGTAGTAAGTAGTAGTGTCTCGTTCGAAATTATATCCATTGATACTCGTGTCTCGTTTGGGGCGGAAGCCATTGATAGCAGCGTCTCGTTTGCACCTACACCCCTGCGTAGCAGCGTCTCGTTTGGAATGAACACAACAAGAATGTACTGTCTCGTTGATAGTAGTGCCTCCTTTGCAGACACGTCCACTATTGATCGCAGCGTTTCGCTTCCAGTCAAATCCGAACATGAATCTAAAGAAGAATGCTTCCATATATGCTCATACACATGGCTGTTCGGTTGCTTGGCTGGGATATTTTTATAGTTATTAGTCTTATTATTTCCAAGAACTCGCCAGAGTGCGAGCGCATGTTTTTACCTAACAGCTTGTGCTGATAGGTTTCTAGTAAGGTCAAAAGAGAGCATCATGACACTCCAGGGGGGTCCGGGCGGAAGCCGGCAGAAACCGGGAGAATCCGGCAGCCCCATGAATCCTTAGGAATCCATGCGAATTCTTAAGAATCTTTAGGAATCCATTCCCAGAGCACCACTCCCAGGCCATATTTTGAATGCCTGGAGCCAACTGTAGGCCACTTTGTGTTCTTCGTGTTCCCAGGACACCACTCCCAGGCCACATTTTGAATGCCCGAAGCCAACTGTAGGCCACTTCGTGTTCTTCGTGCTCCCAGAACACCACTCCCAGGCCACATTTTGAATGCCTGGGGCCAACTGTAGGCCACTTCGTGTTCTTCGTGTTCCCAGAACGCCATGTCCAGGCCACACTTTGAATGCCTGGAGCCAACTGTAGGCCACTTCGTGTTCTTCGTGTTCCCAGGACACCATTTCCAGGCCACATTTGGAATGCCCAGAGTCATCTGTAGGCCACTTCGTGTTTTTTTCGTGTTCTGGGAACACCACTCCTGTACTATATTCTGATTGCCTGGAGCCAACTGTGGGCCACTTCGTGATCTTCGTGTTCCCAGAACACCAGTCCCGTGCCATATTTTGAATGCCCGAGCTGAGGCAGGCTGAGGCCGAGGCAGGCTGAGGCCGAGGCAGGCTGAGGCTGAGGCTGAGGCACGCCGAGGCAGGCTGAGGCTGAGGCTGAGGCAGGCTGAGGCTGAGGCAGGCTGAGGATGAGGCTGACGCAGGCTGAGGCCGAGGAAGGCTGAAGTTGAGGCTGAGGCACGCCGAGGCTGAGGCAGGCTGAGACTCAGGCTGAGGTAGGCTGAGGCTGAGGCTGAGGCTGAGGCTGATGCAGGCTGAGGCTGAGAGGCTGACGCTGAGGCTGAGGCAGGCTGAGGCTGAGGCTGAGGCCGAGGCAGGCTGAGGCTGATGCTGAGGCTGAGGCCGAGGCAGGCTGAGGCTGAGGCTGAAACTGAGGCAGGCTGAGGCTGAGGCTGAGGCAGGCTGAGGCTGAGGCAAGCCGAGGCAGGCTGAGGCAGGCTGAGGCTGAGGCTGAGGCTGAGGCTGAAGCAGGCTGAGGCTGAGGCAGGCTGAGGCTGAGGCTGAGGCTGAGGCTGAGGCTGATGCAGGCTGAGGCTGAGTGGCTGACGCTGAGGCTGAGGCAGGCAGAGGCTGAGGCTGAGGCCGAGGCAGGCTGAGGCTGAGGCCGAGACAAGCCGAGGCAGGCTGAGGCTGAGGCTGAGGCTGAGGCTGAGGCCGAGGCAAGCCGAGGCAGGCTGAGGCTGAGGCTGAAGCTGAGGCAGGCTGAGGCTGAGGCTGAGGGCTGTGGCTGAAGGCTGAAGGCTGAGGCAAGCTGCGGCTGAGGCAGGCTGATGGCTTTATGAGGCTTATGCAGGGCTGAAGGCTGAGGCAGGCTGAGCTGAGGCTGAGGCAGGCTGATGCTGAGGCTGAGGCAGGATGAGGATGAGGCAGGCTGAGGCTGAGGCCGAGGCTGAAGGCAGACTGAGGCTGAGGCTGAAGCAGGCTGAGGCTGAGGCTGAGGCAGGCTGAGGCTGAGGCTGAGGCAGGCTGATGCTGAGGCAGGCTGAGGCTGAGGCTGAGGCTGATGCAGGCTGAGGCTGAGGCAGGTTGAGGCTGAGGCCGAGGCTGAAGGCAGACTGAGGCTGAGGCTGAAGCAGGCTGAGGCTGAGGCTGAGGCAGGCTGAGGCTGAGGCTGAGGCAGGCTGAGGCTGAGGCAGGCTGAGGCTGAGGCTGAGGCTGATGCAGGCTGAGGCTGAGGCAGGCTGAGGCTGAGGCCGAGGCTGAAGGCAGACTGAGGCTGAGGCTGAAGCAGGCTGAGGCTGAGGCTGAGGCAGGATGAGGCTGAGGCAGGCTGAGGCTGAGGCTGAGGCAGGCTGAGGCTGAGGCTGTGAGGCAGGTGAGTGAGGCAAGCCGAGCAGGCTGAGGCAGGCTGAGGCTGAGGCTGAGGCAGGCTGAGGCTGAGGCAGGCTGAGGCTGAGGCTGAGGCTGATGCAGGCTGAGGCTGAGGCAGGCTGAGGCTGAGGCCGAGGCTGAAGGCAGACTGAGGCTGAGGCTGAAGCAGGCTGAGGCTGAGGCTGAGGCAGGATGAGGCTGAGGCAGGCTGAGGCTGAGGCTGAGGCAGGCTGAGGCTGAGGCTGAGGCTTGTGGCGGAGGCTGAGGCCACAAGCAGCTGCGGCTGAGGCAGGCTGAGGCGAGGCTGAGGCAGGAGGCTGAGGCAGGCTGAGATGAGGATGAGGCCAGGCTGAGGCTGAGGCTGAGGCTGATGCTGAGGCAGGCTGAGGCTGAGACAGGCTGAGGCTGAGGCTGAGGCAGGCTGAGGCTGAGGCAGGCTGAGGCTGAGGCCGAGGCAGGCGAATCCTTCGGAATCCTTAAGATTCCCTAGGAATCGTTAGGAATCCCTAGGAATCCCTAGGAATCAGGATTTCTAAGGATTCCTAAGGTTTCCTAAGGATTCCTATGGATTCCTAAGGATGCCTAAGGATGCCTTAGGAATCCCTAGGAATCCTTAGGAGCCCATTGGATCCTAAGGCCGTTGCCACTGCGACTGTCATTGCGAATGCGACTGCGACTGCGAGAACAGCAGACTTCTACAACTGGATTCTCACCTGAATCTTAAGGGGAATGCTTCCACATCTGCTTATACACATCGCTGTTAGGTTGCTGTGCCGGGATAATGTTTGATAACTGATGTTGCGAAAGCATTTGTTGTTGTATGTGTTTTGGACTTAGTTGTAAAATCGCTACGGAACCACAGGTTTTGGACGGATTGCGGCATGCGCGCGCGACGACGCGCGCGCGGGCACTTTTGCACATGATTCTCGCGTCGGCGCGCGCGCGCGCGCAAGGCATTCGAAAGACTTCGACATGCGCGCGCGAAACCCGTTTGGTAGCATTTTTCATGTAAAAACACAAACGCGCACATCTTTTAAATAGAACATCAGTTTTGCGAAACCGTGTGTTTTATTTGCTTGTTTTGACATTCGGTTTTACAATCCTCGCGAAACCGAGAATTTTTGAAGGATTTTCGCATGCGCGCGTGACGGCGCGCGCGTGTGCACTTCGCCATTTTTTTTTGCAAGGGATCATTGGGAACTGCCCGCGCGCGTAGTTTTTTTGCAGAGGATGGCGGAGGGCGGGGTGCGGATGCCGGCTTGGCTGGGATGGAGCGAAGCTTTACTTAGGATGGACGATGGGGCAAAACCGTATGTAAATTGCAATACGGAAAAAGGGGACACCATAATTATGGGGGGGATCTGGGGGGGGGAAGTAGAGTTTATTAGTTCCTTTTGAAAAAAAGAATCTATGCGACGGCGACAGCGGCGACGGGCGGCACCGCCCGCAAAAACCGCTACTCGCCCCGAGCGGCGGCGACGGCCACGGCGACGGCGACGGCGACGGCGGCGGCGGCACCGCCCGCAAAAACCGCCACCCACATGGTTAAGCCAAGAATGAACCCCTTACTGGAAGCACTGTTTGGGGAACATTTTTCAATTTCCGCCTGTAGGAGGATATGCCCGGCCAGATCTCAGGCCCGAGGTGTTCCCCGCTCTCGCCCTGCGAACACCGTAGGCGTCGAACATGTTTGCCCGCGCGCAGGCGACAACAGCCTCCCCCCTGAGATCCACGGCGCGAAACTGTGGAAGCGCTAAACCCTATGTCGGTTTCCAAGCCGCATCGATCTGTGAGGGCTCTGGGGCCCGCAGCCTGACGAAGAAACGCCAAGTCCGAACAGTTCGACACGCCCGGATCTCAGCCTCCCCAGACATCCGCCGATTAGATTTTTTCCATCCGTGGCCCCAGAGGTCCCGACCCCTTCCCCGGGAGTGGCGTTTCGTCCCGGGTCCCCCGGGGGGCTCGATCCGGGGCCCCCGGGGGGCTGACATCCAGGAACAGCCGCGGGGTTGACATACTCAGACCCTCGGATCCCAGCCCCCCGACGTCGTGATTTTGGTCACAACTTCGACCCCCTGGGGTCTAGACCCCTTCCCCGGGACTGGTTTTTCATCGAGTCGTTTGTGACGGTCCCTGGGCCCAGGAAGGCCCCCCCGACGCCGAAAAGAGGGAAAACCTCCCTTCGTGTTTTTTTCACAGCGCGAGGGGGTCTGGGATCTCAGCCTCTGTCTGGGGTCGATCCCAAAGCAAAGGGAGGAGGAGGAGGAGGAGGAGGAGGAGGAGGAGGAGGAGGAGGAGGAGAGGAGGAGATGAGGAGCGAGGAGGGAGGAGGAGGAGGAGGAGGAGGAGGAGGAGGAGGAGGAGGAGGAGGAGGAGGAGGAGGAGGAGGAGCTCCCAGAGGACAGCGAGGCGGACGGCGAGGGCTGCCCGGCGGGCGCGGCCGCCGCGTCCCGGGCGCGGCGCGCGGAGCTCCGGGCGGCCCTGGAGCAGGCGCAGGGCTCCGGGGCAGACCCCGGCGCGGCCGTGGGGGCCCCCGCGACGGCCCTCGGCAGGCTGCGCGCGGCAGCAAATCGTGGGAGCCTCCCTGAGATAATGGGCCCCTCTTCCACCACCACCACCATGTGTTGGCGTCGGGTGCCGTCGATTGCTGTCGATTGGTGTCGATTCGCAGGGGCCGACAGGATGGTTTTCGGGAGTCTCCCATGGAGTTGCCACCGAAGGCTGCTCGCGGGCGTGGGCACCGAGGCCGACATGGAGACCTTGGACGAAAGGTCAGGGGCAACGCTCAGAGGAGGACAAGGTACCCACGCCTCTACCCTCCCCTCGTTTTCCCCTTTTTGGGCCTCCTGGGCCTACGTTCAGAGGAGGAACACGCACCCACACCTCTACCTTTCCCTCGTTTTTCTCTTTTTGAGCCTCCTGGGCCTCCGTCGTCGCCACCGCTGGCTTCGCCTCGGAATCCTGGTCAGAACGCACCCCAGGACCCCAGGAGAGGTCCGGGGAGTGGCGATATCGGTGCCCTTTGGTTTCCCCAAACGCTAGGCCCAGAACCCCTCGCGTTGTGAAGCAATCGCGACGGGAGGTTCGTCGCTACTGTCGGCCTCTACATCGAGGCCTTTGCCAGGCCCTGGGGCCGTCAGAAAGCGACTCGCGACGAGAAGCCAGTCCCAGGGAAGGGGTTCAGACCTCTGGGGGTCGACGTTGTGATCAAAATCGCGGCGTCGGGGGTCCGCGAACTGCGGTGGGGTTCGAGGTTTTCGTTTTGCGTCTCCGTTCTCCTTGAGGACAGAAGAACCCTTAACTCTAACAACACGATGGAGACCTGGCCTCACTTCGGTCCCCGTCTTCGCACTTTGGATGACAAGTCTGGGCGGTTTGGTCTGATACATCTGCAGAAATAGACATTATATCCCTAATGTTGATGGCCCCCCAAACTTAGGTCCCTTCTCAAAGGGTCAGGGGTGCTTTTATTGCTTGTCATTCGTTTGGCGACCACAGTGGGGCTGGTTACGCCGGAGTGCGGTTTGCGGTCGGTGCCGTTGGGGCCTTGTGGGGGGTCACCACGCTGCGCGCCAAAGATTTGAGGAGTCCTAGTCGGGGCGCGGCAGAGATCGTCCTCCCACCCCCCTCCAGGCGCGGGTTGCAAGCCACACCCTTTGCAAACCACAAACCACACCCTTCGGAGTCGCCGATTCGTGGGTTCCCGGACGTTTTCCAGCCTCCGGATGCTCTCCAGCAGCTGTGCCTCGCCGAGAGCGTTCTGGGGGTGCCTGGATCGACCCAAACGGCCGCTGGATGCCCGAGTCATGGCCCGAAGCCGCCCACCAGAGCATAGGCTCAGGATGGGGATGCATCGACCTCCGATCGCCCCTTGGTCGCATCTGTGGGGCCCAACAGCCCACCCCGCGTAGGACCGTGCGGTTTCCCCGTCGAGGGCCTGTCGCCGATCTGTCGGCAGTGTGTCGCCGAGTCCAGGTCGACGATCCCCCTCCCTCGGCTCGTCCCCTCCCAGAGTGCCCCCTCGACAGGGAGCGGAAGGCGCTGGCCGAACAGCAGCTGCTCCGGGAGGAGATCAGGCAGCTCGACCTCACTCCGTCTTTATCCTCCTCCTCCTCCTCCTCCTCCTCACTTCTCCGCCTCCTCTTCCTCCTCCTCCTTCTCCTCCTTCGCCTCCTCCTCCTCCTCCTCCTCCTCCTCCTCTTCCTTTTGACATAAGCTGTATAGTTTGTTTGAGATCAGGCGGCTCGACCTGGAGGGGATCGAGGCCGTGGCCTACGTGCTGAGGGCGAAGCTCGGTAGCTACAAGAGGAAGGCGTTCCGTTACTTCGACGTCGCGAACCAGGAGTGCTTCACCATGATGGCGTGGGACTTAGGCTCAGAGGAGCAAAAGGAACCGATACCTTGGAGCCGTCTGGGAGTCTTCGGTGGGCCCGCACTGGTTCCGGCCAGCAGGGAGGGCAGGCAGGTTCGAGGTGTTGGCTTCGGGAAGCTTTTTTTGTTTTCTTCGGCCTCCAGGGGCCGCTTTCGGGCCCTGGGTCAGTGAAAAACTGATCCGGGGTGAACAACTCCACCAGATGGACCTCTGGATGGGGTCTGGGGACCGATTCTGAGCGGCTTTGGCTGCGTTCCCCCATCTTGACCGGTTTTCTGGGGCGCCGACCAATTCAGGCCCCCTGGCCGCTTCCAACCAATACCGCAGCTCGTCCAGGAGGGCCCTCGTCGCCAAGGCTGGGCTATCGTCGAACTTTTGACCAGAACGCACTCCAGGAGAGGTCCAGGGAGCTGCGATGCCCTCCTTTGTTCCCCCCACAGGCATGACCATGCTGCGAATAAACATGGAAGGTCTGACCGGCATACCTGCCACGCGCGTGTTCCACCAGATGAACACCACGAAGGACAGCACCGTGTCCAGGGCTTGGAAGACCGTGATCCGTTGATGAGTGCTCGATGCGGGTCTCGATGCGTCGATCGATCGGGGTTGGCGCGACCGATCGTACCCTTCATCCGGAGGGTGCCCCACAGCGCCTCGAGGCACCGCGTCTGGACAGGCGGGGGGTTTCACGGAGCAGCCTAGCAAGTCGGGTCTCTCGTGAGGCCTCCCCTGGGGGTCTCGCAGGGACCTTTTGGGGCATCCCGGGGGCTTCTTGGAGGCCTGCTGGCAGTCTCGGGAGCCTTGTGCTAGGGCGGAGGGCTCGAAATGTCAATTCGGGTTTCCCCTCTCGGGCCCTTCTTGGGCCTTCTGGGCGCCACTTGGGTCTTCTTGAGGCCCTCTAGGACCCTCTCAGGGCCGTCTAGGGGCTCTCTTCGACTGTCTTAGAGTGATCTTGAGGGCAAGAAAGCGGACATGTTGAACATGTACGCTTTCCAACGCGACTGGGACGAATTTTGCTTCTCGTGGCCCTTGGGTCCTCTTGGGGCGCTGCACGTTGGCTTTACAGCACATCATTTCTATGCTCACAAATACTTATGCACTGCAGTGGTGGCCCATCTTGCACTGCACGTTACGACGAAGTTCGTTCGCACTTAGCACTTTCATCAGCTGACCGCGCCTGCGGTCCCTGTGCGCCGCTGATTTAACACGTGTGTGTGTGTGTGTGTGTGTGTGCGTGCGTGCGTGCGTGCGTGCGTGTGTGTGTGTGTGTGTGTGTGTGCGCGTGTGTGTGTGTGTGTGTGTGTGTGTGTGCGTGCGTGCGTGCGTGCGTGCGTGCGTGCGTGTGTGTGTGTGTGTGTGTGTGTGTGTGTGTGTGTGTGCGCTGTGGATGCCCTTTCCGCCCCACCGTGGTAGGCAGCAGGAGGGACGCGACTGGAAAAACAAGACAGTACTGCTTGCATCCCTGAGCCCCCAAGGGAACCACTGGATCCTCCGCGCTTTGGGGTGCACCAGCAGGCTGGATCAGGATCGGGGCGGGGCCGTGGATTGGCTTGGACCGGCGGACTCCCTCCGAGGTCTTGGAGGGAATGGAAAGATTTCTTCAAAGACGTCAGGCAAGAAACTTTTGACAAGATGGATGCTATGAGCGCCAAATCTATAGAGGAGCGGGCCGTGAAACAGCAGAAGAAGCTACTGGAGGCCATTCAGGAGAATTTGCGGACGCGCTCTGCGAAACAGCACCGGGTGGTGCAGAAGACAATGTCAAGACAGGTCTCTGAAGATGCCGAATCGGCTGTTTCAGAAGCTAGGGAAACAAGGCCAAGGAAGTTGACAGGGGGCAACTCGACAAACGATGCGGTCGACGGTGCCCACAAGGCGGATCGCCGCAGTTCGAGTCTGCCTCAGCACCCAACGAGCAAGCACGGCAAGCGGGGTGCAGCTCAGCCGGCGGACGGCCCCGAGCATGGCGCCTGGGAGGAGCAGCTCTCGAAGATGCAGGACAACGAGTGCAAGAGATACGCAGGACTGAGCAGCCAGGCTTGGGGGCGCCCGCGAGGGGGTGGCGCAAGGGGGGTGGGCTTCCGAGAAGGCGGCGGGGCTTCTGAGAAGGCTGTGGGGCTTCTCACAAGCCAAGAGGCCCTCCCGCCTCCCCGGGAGGCGGCCTCCCTTGCGCCCACCCCCGCGTGGACGCCGCCTAGAGGCGGTCAAGGGCATCAGGGACGCCTGCCACAACATCGGCTTCACCCTCCACGAGAGCGGCGCCGAAGGCTCCGTCGACGTGTACAACTACAGGGCCTTCGCCGACGCCGTGCGCGCCCGGCTAGGCGGCCTGGGCGTCGGCGAGTCCGCCGAGTTCGGCGACGAGCTGAACGAGGTGCAGCGCGGCCTCGTGCGCCAGATCGCAAAGGAGCTCGGTCTCCGTGCCGCGGACCGTGACCTCGAACAGGGTAAGTGCCTGGTGGTCACCAGCAAGAAGGCTCAGGGGCAACGCTAGCACGGGGGTAATGAGCTCAGGGGGTGCACGGAGTTTTGACGCTCGAGGTGTGTGTGTGTGTGTGTGTGTTTGTGTGTGCGTGTGGTTTTCGGACGGTTTTTCGTCGGTTCTCGGAGGTTCTCCAGCCTCGGGATGCCTTCCAGTGGTTGTGCCGGGAGCGTTCCCGGGGTGCCCAGACCCTCCCGAACGGCCGCCAGAGAGCCGAGTCGTGGCCCGACAGCCACGGGGCAACGTCAGGGGGGATAGGCTCAGGGGGGATGTGCCGACCTTCAGTCGCCGATTCATTGCCGATAGGGGCCTGATGGTCCACCCCCCCCCCGCACAGGAGCGTGCGGATTCGCTATCGGGGGGCCCAGCGCCGAGCCATCGGCAGTGTATCGGCGATACCAGGTCGATGCTTCCCTTCCGGAGCCAGTGCCCCGCTACAGTCAACCCGCGTAGTGAGTGAGCAACTTTCCAAGGTTACCCTTGCATCCTTCCGCTTCGGCCCATCCTTGGCCGCTCTCGCTGGCCGCGCGCAGCCCGTCAAGTGTCAACCTGGCCTTCGAGGCTCTTGCATGCATCACAGAAAAATTCATTAAACAAAAAACATAAAACAACCCAGACAAAAAAACATAAACAAAACCCAGACAGAAAAAAAACCCGGGAGGGGGGCACGATTTGTCCGCCCTCCTCTGTGCAGAGACCCAGCAATAGGAATCAGCAAGCATCCAGTTCAGTTTTTTCTATGTTTTAGTTATTCGGTTTTTCCATCGTTTTTTATGTCTGTCGCGTGTCCTTGTTATACGGGTTGACTGCATCGTTGCCCTCAAAGGCGCTCGACGACTTCGCGAAGGTCGTCGAGAGGGAGCTGCGCGCGCTGGAGGACGGCGCGAGCAAGGAGCTCGGTTGCAGGGTGCCGGTGCCGGCCCAGGGTCCTGACCCCCAAGCGTTCCCAGAGGTCCCAGTCGGAGTCGGGCTGGTAGGTCCTTTGCAAATGGGATGCGATCGTTTTTTTATTGTTTTGCCGGTCGGCGCGGGCCCCAAAATCTTCCGCCCCCTCCCCCCCCCGTGGAGTAGATCTTGGCTGTTTTTTGGCGCCTGTTTCGAGCGGGTGGAGTCTCCCCCAGAGGCAGCACTCTTGCAAGCAGTCGCACGAAGCAGAGGTCTGGAGCCAGACCCCCCCCCCCCTCCCCCTCCCCTTTCCGCCCAGTGTCGAAACGCCGAGTAGAACATGTGCTCACGTCTCAGAGATGAAAGCAGTAGTTCGTGCAAGCGTCCGTGCTGGATAGCGGGCAGAGTGCGCTGCATTTGGCATCGCTGGTCCGTGAGAGGGGCCGCGCGCCGTGAGCCACGGAGTGACAGGAGTTTTGTTTGTTCAGCGCCGATCCGAGGAATCCGCGCGGACCTCCGAGTTTTTAATGTTTATGTCATGTTTCGGTTCCCTGATCACGAAAGGCCCCCTCCTGCCCGGAACCAGCCAGGAAGCCGCGCGGGGGGCGGGCGGTGCCCTGGGGGGCAGGGGCCACCGCTAAGTTGAGTACGGGCCATGGTGGGGGTGAGAGTTCTGTGAGGTGTTTAACGGCGTGTCCTGATGTATGAGGTGTCGGATGTGCGACGATGGGAGCCCAAAAACGCACCCCCACCATGGCCCAGACTCGCGAAGTTGGGGTGGGCGGGTCGCCGGGGCTCTCCTCCTGGGAAGCGAGGGGGCTCCAGGACGGAGGCGCGAGGCGGCTCTCCTGGACGTCTGGGATGGTTTCGGAGGGCCCCTGGGCCATGCTTAGGGGCCCACTCCTTCGAGGAGCTGGCGCTGCCCTGGGGAAGTGGCGACCCCCCCAACATACTTATACTATGTGCTCGTCCTCCCTCTCCTCATGTTCCTCCTCCTCGTCGACCCCTCCGCTGGACTTTTATTTTTGTCAGTGGCTCCATACATTTTTAAACATGTTCCATGCCTGCCTGTCAATCTCTGCGGAAGCTTGCCTGAGCAGTTGCCTACACCAAAACAAAAATACTCATACTGTGTGTGTGTGTGTGTGTTCGTCGCCCCCCCAGGGGCGACGCGCGCACCGAGAAATCTTCTAGTATATGCGTCGTGGCAGGCGCTTTCTGGCCACACCTCTCGAGAAACGATCTACTACAAGATGGGTATACTACATGTTCGGGTCGGACGCGCGCCTCCGAGGCGGACATATAGTATGAGTATGCCTCTGTGCGTCCCATGGGGGAGCGGCGACCCCCGTCGCAGTGACGGCCCTCTGCACGGCCTCGGTGCTGCCCGGCCACATGATCAGCACGTTCCAACACCCTTCGTGGGATCCGGCGCGGCGAGCGAGGAGCACGACCAGAGCTGAAGACCCGCTCTTCCTGCGGCATGCCTCGACCTGCGAGGGCCCCGTGGGCCTCCTCCTCCTCCTCCTGCTCCTCCTCCTCCCTCCTCCTCCTCCTCCTCCTCCTCCTCCTCCTCCTCCTCCTCCTCCTCCTCCCCCTCCTCCCCCTCCTCCCCCTCCTCCTCCACCTCCAGGTTTGTGGTGAAGAGGCTGCGACGCCCAGATCCCAAGGTAGGCAGAAACACGTTCCAAAGCCTTCCTGGGCAAGTTCGCATCAGCCGCCATCTGTCGAAGCAGGAAGCACCACACAAACAAACTTGTGGCGCTCCGCGCGGAGTTCTCGGATCCGCGCCCGGGCTTCCCCGGCGGCGCCTCCGGCGCCGCCCCTGGCGCGCGGAGCGCGCCAGGGAGGGGAGTCCAGCACGGGTCCGAGCAATCTGCGCGGAGGGCCGAAAAAGGTTTTATTCTCGTGGCGTCTCTTCTTCTCCTATTCCTGGGCAAGTTCGTATCAGCCGCCCATCTGCTCTCCTGCGCCGTGGGTTCCCCGAGTCCGGGGGCTGCTGCGAGTTCTGCTCTCGCTGCCCTGCGCGGTCGGCCGCGCCCGCGTGGTGCGTTCGAGACAGCCCCCCCTGAGTTATGATGTTCAACCTACTTCAGCCTTGATCGCCAGAAAGAATTCCGAGCACCCAGCAATGACTGAAACTGGAGGTTTTTCACGCGTCGGGCCCTGGGAGTCGATGCTCTTTCGACACCGTCTCGACAGTTTTCTGCGTGCTCCAACATTGTTTCTGGGATTTGGTCCCTGAGTACGCGGGGAACAGCATAACCTTGAGGGGCAGCGGAATCCTCCCTAATTACCATCCGCCTGTTTTTTTGTTGTCGGAGGAGGGCCCGTTGAGACAACGGCGGCTGCCCCGCCCGGCCCCTCTCCTCCCGCACTCGGCCCTCCTCCCTCCTCCCTCCTCCCTCCTCCCTCCCTCCTCCCTTCCTCCTCCCTCCTCCTCGCTCCTCCCTCCTCCCTCCTCCCTCCACAATTACTCAATATGAATATACTCTCCCTCTTCCCCTGATGGCGTCCGGGTGATAGCCGCGCACCCTCCGCGTACTGTTTTTTTACACACAGGATGCCCGGGAAATCCCGGGAAACGACTCTCGCTGAGGCGCCGGCGTCATTTTTTCCCAAAATGCTGCTCTCGCGCCGGCGTCATTTTTTCCCAAAATGCTGCTCTCGTTGAGGCGCCGGCCTCATTTCTGCTCCCGAATCCTTCCCCTGATGGCGTCCGGGTGATAGCCGCGCACCCTCCGCGTACTGTTTTTTTACACACAGGATGCCCGGGAAATCCCGGGAAACGACTCTCGCTGAGGCGCCGGCGTCATTTTTTCCCAAAATGCTGCTCTCGTTGAGGCGCCGGCCTCATTTCTGCTCCCGAATCGTTCCGAATCGTGCTCCCGCTGCAGCGTGGGCCTCATTTTCGGATCGGTGTTTGGCCTCCGTCGTTCAGGATGGCGTTCTCGCCCCAGCGCGGGCCTTTTTCTCGCGCGCCCATCCGCCCGCCACCACCGCGCCGCACCGCCACCACCACCATCACCACCACCACCACCACCCACCACCACCACCACCACCACCACCACAACCACCACCACCACCACCACCACCACCACCACCACACCACCACCACCACCACCACCACCACACCACCACCAGCACCAGCACCAGCACCAGTACCAACACCACCACCACCAGCACCAGCACCACCACCACCAGCACCACCACCACCACCACCACCATCACCACCACCACCACCACCCCCACCACCACCACACCACCACCACCACCCACCACCCACCACCACCACCACCACCACCACCACCACCCACCACCACCACGACAACCACGCACACACGCACGCACGCACGCACGTGCACCACCACCCACTACGCACGCGCGCGCGGAGCCACAGGTCCGCTACGACACGCGTCCGCGGATAGAGAAAATCAGCGCCATGGTAAGGGATGGGAGGGAGGGGTAGGACGTCAGATATGACGAGAGCGCACCTAGCTTGTCCTGGGCCCCTCCCAGGGTCCCGGGCGTGGCGGCGAGAGGGTCTCTAGAGGTCGAGCAGGGGCTCGGCTACGGAATCGACCTGCCCCGAGATGTCCTTCCTCGTCCGATCCGAGAATCGGGGGCGGAAAAGAGGGGGGTGATGACTAGGGGGGATAGATATCATGGCGGGGGCCATGACATTTCCCCAGATCTCATGGCGCCTCTTCTCATTTCATTACGTCCCCGGCCCCCCCGCTGGGCCGCGCACATGCCGCCGGTCATGATTTGCACCCCCCCCCTCCTTGGACACCCCCCTCTTGGCCGCTCCGGACAAGAACAGGAGTGCGTATAATTGTTCGTAGATCCGACGCCCAAGTGAATTTTTAGGAGGGTGCGTCAATCCTGTGGTCGATCCCCTGCTCGAGCAGGAGGCCCCGGAGGGCCGGAGGACGCCAGGGAGGGCCGCCGGTGTCTCAGCTCGGCTCTCCTCCGGCTTTGTCTTTTCGGGCCAGAGTTGCAGGGCGCATTCCTAAGCAAAGCCTCGGACCCACCTGCTCCTCTTCCGCTCCTTCCTCCTCCTCTTCCTCCTCCTCCTCCTCGTCCTCCTCCTCCCCTTCGGCTGGTGCTGCTGATGTTTCACATGTTGCAGGGCGCATTCCGCTACGGCACCGAGTCCATCTGATTCGAGATCGATGGCCTCCGATTGCGATTCGGCGCGGCATCGGATTCCGATCTGGATTCCGATTTCGCAATGGAGACCTACAGGGAGGCTGAAGAAAGTGGCTGGGGCCAGCCCTTCACTCTTTCCACCCCTGGCCAGCTTTTACTTTTTCCAGCCCGGGCGACCTCATTTCAACTTCGCCGTGCTCGCCGCAGCCCTTGCTGTTTTTTGTCCGACATTGGCCACTTCCACTTTGACCGACTAGCGTGCCGACTTCTGCCGAGTCGACTTCTCCCGACTCAGCTGGCGTTTTCTGCCGATCCGCTTCATTTCGATCGCGGATCCGGCATGTCGATTCGATCCTGGGCTCTCCTGACTGGTTCCCTGCGAGAGCTAGGGCCACAGGCGGCCCTCGGGCGGCCGTTCGGAGCGAGTCTGGCAACCCCCGAAACGATCGTGGCGAGGCGTAGCTGCTGGGATCCATCCCCGCCCCGAACTCTTCGGAAGATTCGGGAGGAGTTGGAGGAGGAGCAGGAGCAGTAGCAGGAGGAGGAGGAGGAGGAGGAGGAGGAGGAGGAGGAGGAGGGCCAGAGAAAAACCTGACATGCGTCAGCTTAGCTGCAACGCAGAAAGCACCATCCCGTGCCAAGTCTCCTCCTAATACGTCCCTGCAAGATATCCGATTCACTGCAAGAGTCGCTCCTTTGACAGACCAGCACAGTTGGGCTTGCCATTTTTGATTTTGGACAGGACCCGTTTTAGAATGGAGCTGTCCTGCATCCTTCTGGCGCGCAATGAGGAAAACCAAGAATTTGATCACGCAGTTGAACGATGTGTCCAGAGACATCCGCTTTTGGAAGAAG